CCATCCTCCTCCTTCCTTACTGGGTTTGGGCAGCATGAGAGTGTCTCCCACCTCAAACCCCACATTCACGTCCCCTAAGATTTCTCCATCTGATGTCCTCATGGGCTTGTTTGTTTCAGTGCCTGGATGCCATCCTACCACAGGTTATCAGGAAAAACCCAGACCCTGGGGCTTCCTGCAAAAGGGAAACTGAGGCACGCTGGGGTCAGCACCTCTCACTGGGACACACTGAGCTGGGAGAGACAAAGCCAGGGCCTGTGGCTCACCGTGCCCAGCCTCAGGCTGTTTGCATCACACCCCAGAGCCTGCCCCCTCTGTGCCCGCTGCCCAAGCTGCAGCTCTGGGCTCCCCCTGCTCCTCTGGGAAGGGAAATGTTTTCCCTTTCCCCTCCCATTCTGCTCGCCAGCAGCCAGTGAGTCCGGTTTCCCCTGCGCGCTGCCGCCAAGCGCCTCTGGAACCACTGGAAAATGCATAAAGGGCCTGGGCAAGGCTGCGGTGAGGGTTACTCGCAGTCACAGCTGGATCCAGCTGCTGCTTTAAAGCAACAGCACAACCACACAGGGCTCCCAGGACACCCAGGTGTGCCAGGGGTTTCAATCCCGTGGGAAGAGAAGGCAGCATCCTCACTGGGCAGCAGCCCTGAGGCTGGAGGGGGCCTTTTGACTGGGCAGAAACTCTTGGGTGGGTCTGGGTTTGGGATTTGCTCACCCAGGTTTGCAGACTGCTTCCCCCTGCCCTGCTCCTGTGGCTCCTGGCACAGTGACCAGGAGAGCACTTCCCACCAGCCCCAGCTGCATCCCACGGTTGTGTCTGCAAAGGGCAGCAGCAGCCTGGGGACCCCAGAGCACGGGGGCTGGCCCAGCCATCACCCTGCAAATCAGCTTACACTCTTCCCCTCTTTTTGGAAGAAATCATGCAAATCCCAGAGTGTTTGATTCCAGGCAGGACAGAGGGTGTGGCTTTCAGCTGTGGCTCAAGGTGTTTCTGCAGCCCTGAGTGTTTCAGTGTGTGAGATGCTGAGGCCAATGGAATGGGATGGAGCAGCTGGCTGTGGGAAGGCAGAAAACCTCCTCCTGCATCCTGGGTGCCAGCATGGTCCTGCTCTGACAGAGGCACTGGGATGGAAACAGCCACGGGGCACTGGGGTTAATGAGTAAAATAACTCACCCTTCCTGGGGTCTGGTTTATGGCTCTGTTAGCATGGGCAAGCAGAGGGAGATTTCTGTGGGGGTGGATGTCTTTCCCAGTGTCCCACGTCAGACTGGTCAGCCCGTGACGTCTGCTCCACCTTCTAAGATGCAGCAATAAATCAGGTAAATAATTAATCCCAACTGCCTGGGGAACCTTCCCTGGGACTGAGGCAGAGCCGGTCCCGCTCCCAGCTCCCAGCACTCCATGTGAGAGCCACAATGATGGGCGAGTCTCACAGGGCTGCTCTTTACCACAGCATCATGAAAGGTGCTTATAAAACAAACATGGAAGGAGAAAGGAACATTCCCTGTCCTATCACATCCAGGATGTTTGCTCCTGAGTGTGCGCAAAATCTTGATGTGGTGCGAGTCTGGCTCAGCCAAACAAATTGCAGCCTTGACCTCCCTCCCTGCTCCAGGGTACACCACAGGTGAGCGGTTTAACAAAGAAAAACCTAAAAGTGTGACCACCCTGTGCAGCTGCTCTTGGGTCAGGCTGAGCCCTTGGTGCTGCTCCAGGCACTCAGAGGTTTGGGGAGGAGAGGGCTGGTTTGTGTGTCTCCACAGGGCAACGGGACCTCGGCTTGTGTGGGAAACCCAGCCCAGGGACCACAGTGTTGGCACAAGTGGCCAGGAGGTGTGAGAATTCCTGGAAGAAGAAGTGAGAGTTTTTTCTGTGTATGTATAATTTGCTGGAATGAAAATAAATCAGAAAACAACACTCACACACACCAAAAAAACCCCATATCAAAGAAACCAGTGCAGCTTTCCCCAGTGAAACAAATTCCAAACCATCAGTGGGAAAACACTGGCTAGGTCAGTCTGCCACTAGCCAGTCTTCTGGGATTACATAAACTTAATAAAAAAAGCTCAGTTATTTCTTTGTACTATTTTTTAAAATAAAACATTTTAGTTCAGGTCCACTTTGAAATTAAAAGAGGATTCTTGAAAAAAAAAAAAAGCATTGTGGTTAGCTTTAAGAACATCTAAATGAGCCACTTGGGCATCACCCAGTCCTTGTCCTTTCCCTTAACCCAGACAATGTCCTGGAGCCCTGTTTGATGCCAGCTCCAAAGCCTTGTTGTCCCTACAGGTTGCCCCTCGCTGCTCCTCACAGGTGCCCTGCCAGCTCCCCCAGGGCTGCAGTGGCCTGGCACACCTCAAATGTCACTGGTGTTGTGCAAGGAAGAGAAACTGGGCTTTTGCATTTTCAAGCAGCCCCAAGAGCATTAATCCAGAAATCTGCAGCTCTGCCCACAGTGCCAAAAAGGCACCTGGTGCCTCCAAATTTCAGTCTAATGGCTGATACCTAAGAAATACTGATGATGGGTGCTGCAGAGGAGGGGCAAGGCTACAGGTTCAGCTGCTTTGCTGAAGGCAGGGCTGGGCAGGAATGGCAGGGATATGCTGCTGGCTGAGTCTGCTGGGGTGAATAAAAATATTCAGGTTTCTCTTTTTCATGTTTCATTCTCAGCAGAGTGGTTGTAGCTGCTCATGTGAAACCTGCTCTTGCTGGGCGCTGGAAAGGGATAAAGGGAATGTGTGTGGAGTAAAACTTTTTAAAAGAAATATCCTTTTAGCTGGATTTTGTTCTTTCTGATGCTTTTCTGCTTTCCCAGGGTGAATCTGAAAAGCTGAAAACTTGGTTTTGTCCTAAACTTTTCTATGTAATGATGAAAAAAAATCATAAACAATTCTGCTTCATTTTTGGGTTCATCCTTGAAACAGGAGCTGGTGGTGCCAGGGATGCCCAGTTCTGTGTTTATCCCAGGCATCAGAAGCCCAAGACCTGTCAGGATTTGAGCCTTTAACGATGATCAGAGGTATAGCTTTGTGCAGCCCTCACACCCATGCAGTGGGATGTGCACCTTTTTCCCTCACAGAGGGAGGTAGGGGGTTATCTGAACCAAAACCTGCACAGCAGCATGGAATCATCCGGGAAGTGCTATGCTTGCAGCCCTACAGCTTTCCTGCACGGAAGCAGCCGTTGGAGAGGCGGGACACAGGGCTGGCACCGCTCCCTGCCCCAGGCTGCCAGGAGCCCTCCTCACCCTGCAGCAGTGCCCCTTCCATGCTGGAGCAGCACAGCACAGCCTGCAGGCTGCAGCACGGCTGGATGTGCTGCTGCTGGGGCATCCGCAGCGCCCCGGGAGGCTGCAGCACACCCACAGCACAGGGTGCCCAGGGGGGCAGCAGTCACCCCAGGCTGTGGTTTGGGATTTGCTGCAGCTCCCCACGAGTGGATGCTGCCATCCCTGTCCACATCATGGTCCCAGGGCAAATTGCAGGGGTGAAAAGGTTGTTACGCTCTCAGGGCGTTCCTGTTCACATCCCTTTGTGCAAGGGCCATCCTCCAGTGGGGTGCTCCTCAACTGTGAGCCCCTCCTTGCAGAGCGGGGTGAATTCCCAGCCAAGGGAATGCACCAAACCATCCCTTGTGCTGCAGGGATGAGGAGGGTCCTTCTCACAGCCTGTTCTGGTCAAGCTGATGCTCAGTGAATCTCATGGCCATGGTTTTCTTGGGGCCATGAATGCAACAAATACAATTTTCCCTATAGGCACTGGGAACAGGCTAAAAAGGAATCAGGAAAGGTATGTATGGACTTTTGGTGGTGATAAGGACATGGGATGCTGTAGAGCTGGTGCAGCCTGTTTGGGCAATGTTTCCTGGGGAGCCTTCACAGGCCCCAGGACACAGAGCTGCAGGGCACCTGGGAAAGCGATAAGCTGAGATAAGGAGAGAGAAACAGATCTGGAGAAAGCAGAGCAATCTTCCTCCCAAAACTGAGTTGGATGTGGATTTTTCTTGGTGCTGTTTCAGTAGCAGAGGTTGTGGGTCCCTCTGCATGTCCAGTCTTTGAAAGAAGAGCCTTTCCCATAAGAAGCTCAGTGTGTCCAGGGGGTTCTGAGAGCTGTAGGAGACCCTGACCCTCATAATGAAAAATGCAGAGGAACTGTTCAGAAAGGGACTGGGATATCTCTGCTGGACAGGAAAGGAAATATTGCAAATTTCCTGCAGGCTTCCCAGCCTGGCTTCATGGCAAACATGAGCAGCTGGTGGGATTGGGAGGGTGACAAAAAAGGGAGATATCAGAAATCAGAAGGACTGATTTTTATGGCTGAAAAACACCTGCAACTGAAATGTTACATTTAAAAGGAAAATAAGGTCTTTAATCTGCTTCTTAATGGGCAATGGGGTGTCCCATACTGATACGACTCTAGCAGGAATGCTGGTGAAACTGCATCTGAACAAGGGCTAAAGGAACAGTTTGAAAGGACGCCTCACCTGGCTGTGATGCTATTGGAAATTTGACCCATGAGAGGTCCCAGTATGCTGAGCAGGAATCTTCCTGCTGCAGCAACTCCCCGTCAACTTCCTACACGCCCAGGTGTGCTGTGGTTCCTAGGAAATGTGTGAGTGCTGGGCAGAGCATGGATGTCTGGGTGAGACTGGAGTCCTGGGCAGAGTATTGGCCCTTGACAAGGTGTGGACCTTGAGTGAGATGTGGGTCGTAGGGGAAGGGTGGGTCCCAGGAGAGGTGGGTATCCCGGGAGGTGCATTAAAGACTCTGGGGCAGAACTAATGCACCCCAGAGAGGGCACAGTACACCAGGAGCCGGGCTAGGACGCCCCAGATCCTGGTGAGAGAGCCATCAGCAGCGGGGAGGGTCCTCAGGGCGACGTGTGGGGTGTCACCCTTAAACTTGCCCTGGGAGCACTGGGGAGGTGTCTGTCTGTCTGTCTGCCTGCGGGGGCGGGCAGGGGGGACGGGACAGAGGGGCAGGGCAAGAGTTAACCTACCTGCTCTGCCATCCATCTCTAGGCTCCACCTCGGAGAGAGAGGGGAGGGAAAAGAGAAAAAGTAGGAAAAAAAAAAAAAAAAAGAAAGAAAAAAGAAGAGGAGGAGGAAGAGTGCAGAGAGAAGCGCCCGGACCGCGGGCAGCCCGGCCAGCAGCGGAGCGGCCGCCCCGTCCCACTCCCAGCATGTTCCAGTGGTGAGTGATCTCCGGGGAGCGCGGAGCCCGAGTCCCGCTCCTGCCCCGCTCCCGCACCGAGTCCCGGTATCCCTGGCTCCGCCGTCCCGTGTCCTCCGCTCCCGCTGCCCGGCGCTGCCGTCCCGACGCTGCCCGGAGCCGGGGGACTGCGAGGATCCCTCCCTACCGGGTCCCTCTCTCTCGTCGCCCCGGGGGTGGCCGGCCGGGGAAGGACAGCTCTGGTGGGGACGGTGGGCATGTGGAAGCGACTTAGAGCGGAGTGTGTCATTTGTCCCCTGTCCGTCTGTCCCCATCCCTGGAGCGACCCTCCCGGCTCCGCGGGACTCCCAGGCGGGGTCTCGCTGGCCGCGGTACCCCGGAGAAGGCTCCCTGCGGGTCCGCTCCCGACACGAATTTCTCTCCATCCCAGGGCACCGGAGCTCCGGCCCGGCGGGAGGCAGGACGGGGGCAACGAGCAGGGGCGGCCGGTTGGTGCCCCCCAATCCCTGGGGATGCCTTTCCCAGCTTTTCCCTGAAAAGAGCTGGTTTGTGTGGAGGGGCCGGGGGCAGCAGGGCCTCCAGCCCTGCCCGGTGGGGTCCCGTCCCACGGCAGAGCCAGCCTGGGGGCAGATGCCCTCGTCCGGGGCAATACTCGGGGTTTCGGCTCTTGCCCCTTCCCCAGGAGCGTGGTTTTACGGTCTTTTATTTAAACCAGACTTTTACGACGAGGGGACGCATCTCCGGTCACCCGCATGGCGAGCTGCGGCCCCGCTTGGTGCTTGCACCCCGCTATTGCACAGGCTGCTCCTGGGGACATTTGGGTTCTTCCTGCCCAGCATCTGCCCCTTTATAAGATCCCCTCTCCAAATCCTCTGCGCTGCCATCAGGCAGGACTCTCTACTGGCGGTGCCTCCAGAGACTGGGTCTAACTGAGGGGCCAGCAAAAGCCCCTATCACATAAATATATAGCGCTGGTGGATCCAAAAGGTTTTCACGCGAATCCGAAGTGAATGGGATAGGGATAGGGATAGGGATAGTGAGCCCCTGTCTCCCGGCGCCTCATCTGCCCTCGAGCATCAACACCTGAAAGGGGTACTGCCCACCTCTAATTTGGAGTTTATATTTAACTGCCTGGTGGCAAAGCCACCTCACAGGGAGGCTTTTGAAGTTTCCTTGTGGATAAAAGGGAAGAGAAGGAGCGTGTTAAGACCTTTTCAAGGCTCTCTTGATGGCACCAACACCAGCAGTTGGGGCAGAGTGACCTGACTGGAGCCGATGGCAGCTCCCCCAAATCCTTGGTTTGATATGGGAATTGCCTGCGGTTGTGGCTCAGGGTCCTCCCAGTCCCCGCCGCTTTCCTGGCAGTGCAGGGACAGGGTTTCTGCAGGGCAGAGGTGGCTCTGGGTCTCCTGGTTCCTGCTGGACCTGGTGGGACCCCGTGATTTGCAGTCAGGCCAGTAAGAAAAATCCCAAATAGGTTCTTGTAACAAAGCAAGAATTGCACTGGTGAGAACTAGGAAACAGGGTCCACTGAAGGAAGGAGGAATGAGTTTCTGTGCTGTTGTGCAACACCTCACCTATAAACACACCCAGGCCACTTAACGCTTCAGCTCTTAATAAAAGCTGGAGTTGTCCCCTCAGCCCTGGGTCAGAACTTTTTGTCCCAAGGAGAGTAATGGGCGTCAGTGCACCTATGCACTGTCAGACAGAGTCTGCCAAGGCTGGGACCATCTGTGCCAGTTGGTGACAGCCCTACCTATGCAAATTGTTAAAATTTGTATCAGTAATTCCCTGTCCTTTGGCTTCTGGGTAACGTTTGACCATCCTTCAGGCTGAGTATCTTATCGCTTGTTGTCCTTGGATGGCGGAAAGTGTAAGAATGTGGTGGCACAGGACAGGATGGGATGGGATTGATGCAAATAAAATTACTACACAGGGTGACAGGGGTTATTTCTGCAGCAGAAATTCTGCAGCATTTTCTTGTCAGGTATGGATGAGAGGTTTTAAACATTGCTTGGCTGTGCTTGGAGTAAGGTTGTATTAGAACTGAAGGGTTTGTAAGAATAAGCTCAAATCTGTGCAGGCAGGGCTGGAGAGGGTTAAGGGAATGGTGAGATCTAATCAGAACTGCTCCCTCATCAGTCTCAGATGAGTGGCCACATACAAAACCGGATGAGGAATATCTATCCATTTATCCTTAATTACTTATTTCCACGCTCGCTCCCACAGTCCACACTAGTGATCACAGTTTTCCCACGACGACGTCGAGCTCAAAAGTTCTTTGTGCTTCAGAGCGAAGCCAGAGACAGGAGCTCCTGAAAGCTCATGGTTCCCTTCTGGGATTTCTGCATTTCAGGGTGAGTGGAATCCCCTAGCACAGTGCTGTCTCCTGCCCTGGGGAGTCTGATGACCCACGAGGTGTCCCATAGGTGTTTTGGTGCAGCCTGAGGAAAACTCCAGCAGCTTCATGGTGGTTCTGATCACAATCCAGTCTAGGAGAGTTTTGCGGCTTTTTGAGGGTTTTTTTTTTTGTCTATCTGGAAAATACTTGGGTTAAATGTTTCAGATTGCAGCCCCAAGCTCCTTCTCTGTGTCTCCTGAAGTGAAGGTGCCATCTGCCTGCTAGAGAGGATTCTGGATTTTTCTGGCTCTGACAGGAGCAGGGGGGTGCGGGCTGTCCCCAGTGGGTGTCACCCAGGCTGGGATGTGCCTCTGACATGAAGAGGACAGGCACAGGGGCATCCCAAGACCAGTGCCACATCTGTCTCCATCAGCTCCACAATGCAGTGGCAGGAAAAGGGTGTTCAGGGACTGCCAAGCACCTTGTGTCAGAGCAGACAGAGATGGGGCTGCCCTAGGGAAGCTGTTGAGAGTAGAGACAAGGAGCTCAGCTGCCATCCTCTCATGCCCAGTGCTCACCTGCACAGGGAGATGCCCCAAGGCAGCTGGAACATGCAGGCCTGAGGCAGGAGGAAGCTGGTGCAGTGTGCAAGCTGTGGAGAGAAGCTGAGTGTTCAGGAGCTACTTTGTGCAGCTGAGCAGAGAGAGCAGTTCCCCTCCTCTGTGGCAGAGGGATGAGAAACCCACCTTTAGCTGAATGGAAAAGCAGGCTGGGAAGGAACTGTGCATCAGTAATCTCTAAGTCTGGCTTTTCTGCAGTCCCAAGGACCTCAGGAGGATCCTGCTTAAGCTCCCCATGAACTCCATGCAGGGTTTGTCCCCGAGCCATCAGCTTCCCAGGGCTATAGATCTGCAGCAGAGGAGAGCAGCAGGATGGCCCCAGGAAGAACTGGGTTTGATCTACTCATGCCCTGCACACCCAGGACATGCAGACACCTGGATTGTCACAGGCAGGGAAAATCTGCCCACCCAATCTGCCCTGCATCCACTGCTCCTTATCACCACAAAGGAAGCAACGGGACCCAAGAGCTGCCCAAATGCCCAGCAGTGCCCCCAGAAATACTGGTTCCCAAGGTAGTTGTAGGGTTAGGGATGTCTTTTTCCCACTGAACCATGAAATTTTACTCAAATGGCTTTCTTTTTTCATCCTGATGTGCTATTTTGAAATTAAACAGCAATGCTAGTTTCATGTTGACTCTTATGGTCTTCCCAGCTCTGGTTTCTCAGTGCTGTGTAACCTGTGATGCCAGTCTAGGCCATGGATAGTATGTCTGTCTTGCAGCTAAGGCTTTTCTGGAAAAGATAATTCCCTCCTGCTCTTGTCCTAAACTACAATTTTCAGATGGCTGAAACAGCAGTTTCTCTTGGGATTTTCTCCTGAACCAGCTGCCTTGCTGAAACTCTCACCCTGACTTCTCTCTCTCTCAGCCCATTTTCATTTCTCCTGTGAACCCTTCCCTGATCTTCGTACTGGGGTTACCAGAGGACACTGCAATCACCCCCACATACCTTGTGCCTGTCCCTACAGTTAAGTGTGGCCCCAAAGCCACCCCACAAGCAGGATCCAGCTGGGAATAGTATGCATTGAGGTGTCCTGCAGCTCTTCCCACAAGGTTTTTACTCCTCAAAAGGTGATGGAACACAGATTATGAGCATCCCATGACTTCTCAAGAAAGTGCTTTTGCAGACAAGCCTCTTTAAGCCTGTATATTCTTCTCCTTAACCCCTTGTCTCTTCCCTTTAGGAAGAAGACCATCTACAAAACAGTTTGTCTCTCCTTCTTGCTGATCATTACAGTGACGGTGCTGCAGCGTGGAATGGCCCCAAACCAGTTCATGCAGGGCCAGCAGCAGAAAGAACTGCCCCCTTCAGAGCCCTTGAAATCACAGAAGAGAGACAACGCCTTCTCCATCAGCAACAGTTTCTGGAAGACCAAGAAGGAGAAAGCTCCTGTGAAGAAGGAGAGCGTGACGGCAAAGCAAACAAAATCCTGGGATGTCACCACTACCAACTGCTCAGCCAACCAGAACTTCAGCAAGGTGGATTGGTTCAAAGGGCTGGAGCCCAACTTCCAGCAGTTCCTGCTCTATCGGCACTGCCGCTACTTCCCCATGCTGATCAACCACCCAGAGAAGTGCAGCGGGGATGTCTACCTGCTCATTGTGGTCAAGTCCATCATCACCCAGCACGACCGCCGCGAGGCCATCCGCAGGACCTGGGGCCAAGAGAAGGAGGTGGAGGGCAAGAGGATCAGGACGCTGTTCTTGCTGGGCACCGCCTCCAAGGAGGAGGAGAGAGCCAACCACCAGAAACTGCTAGATTATGAGAACCACATCTATGGGGACATCTTGCAGTGGGATTTCCTGGACAGCTTCTTCAACCTCACCCTCAAAGAAGTCCATTTCCTGAAGTGGGTTGACATCTACTGTGACAACGTCCACTTCATCTTCAAAGGTGATGACGATGTGTTTGTGAGTCCCAGCAATATCCTGGAGTTCCTGGAGGACAAGAAGGAGGGAGAGGACCTCTTTGTGGGGGATGTCCTCCACAGGGCCAGGCCAATCCGTAAGAAGGAGAACAAGTACTACATCCCCAGTGCCCTCTACAACAAAAACATCTACCCACCCTACGCAGGGGGTGGGGGCTTCATCATGGATGGAGCTCTGGCCAAGAGGCTGCATAAGGCCTCAGAGACACTGGAGCTGTACCCCATTGATGATGTCTTCCTAGGGATGTGCTTGGAGGTCCTTAAAGTGTCACCTGTTGGGCACGAGGGCTTCAAGACTTTTGGTATTGTGAAAAACAAGAACAGCAAGATGAACAAGGAGCCATGTTTTTACCGGAGTATGTTGGTGGTTCATAAACTGCTGCCTCCAGAGTTGCTCCAAATGTGGGACTTGGTCCACAGTAACTTGACATGCTCAAGAAAACTCAATGTCCTTTAGCTCAGTCTCTCTGGAGAGCTGGGACTGCAGGAGCTGGGACAACCGATCCCTGCTCTGGGGTGGGGTGAGCCTCCACTGGTGGCACACAAATCCTTCAGGGGCACTGCCCTCCAGGGTGAGGGGGGCAGAGACACTGCACTCACGGGCAGGGTTTGTTCCTGTACTGTATTGTGGTTCACGTATCTCCAGCTGGGTTGGGGGTTGCTGAAAAAGAGAAAAAAAATAACAAAGCATGACAAGTCTAGCACAAAATGGAGAGAGGGCAAAGAGGTTTGTGCTCTGCTTTAGGTACCTCCTCCACAGCAGCATGATGAGTGGAGGGAGGCAGGGAGGGATGTGGAGATGTTCAGGGTCTGGCTATCCAGGGAAGCTGATCCAAGGGAGTTCAGCCAATTACAAGTGCATCAACCCCCCTGACTCAAAAATCATGGGATTTTGTTATCTCAAATTTCTCCTCTATGTAAGGTCTTGGTAACACTGACTCTGTGTGCATTGGGTTCACCCCCACCAAAGTCCTGTGTGTCCCCATATGCAGCTGGGGAAAGGGGCTCTTCTCCGAGGCTGGCCCTCAACAGCCCTGAGTCCCCGTTAGGGTTTCAGCCTGGCAGTTGGGGACCTGGGGTCCTTGTCCCTGTCAGAGGCTCCCAGGCAACGATGGCTCCCAGCATCAGCCTGGGCTGTGCCTGGCTCCCCAGCCCCTCTGCAGCCTTACTGCATGTGTCCTCAGAGGAATGCACCCAGCTGAAATTCCTCAGGGATTTGTTCCTTCTGGCAGGCAAGAGACTAGGCCAGCTGCCCTTGCCTGTGGCCAAGGAAGAGGTGGAGAAAAGTGGTGATCCCCCTTGGAATCCCCCAGGGGGGCATTTGTCACTTCTGGGACCCAACTTCCTGGGCATCCCAGGGGGTGCTGTGGGAGACCCTCTCCGTGCTGCACAGCTGCCTTCATGGCTTTGCCTTGCAGGGGAAGAACAGCCCCAAAGGCTCTGTGTGTGGCTGCTTTGGGCTCAGCCCTGGTTTGTCAGCAACTGTGATGCTCCAGGGTAGGCTGGAGACATTGGCTCTGCTCTGGCATGAGAAGCAGGGTCCAAGGGGACAAAGTGAAGAAAAGCTGGTGTTTCACATGTCTGCTCCTCTCAGGGTTGTTGCAGTATTTATTCTACAGGCTGAGACTGGAGCATGACAGGAAATGGGGTCACAAGACATTGCCTTTTTTCTTCGGGCTGAAAGGGCCACGAGCTCTCAAGGGGAGCCCTGGGCTGGTTGCTTTGGTGGAAACCCCCAACACAGAGACATGTGGCCACACAAGGGCCACGGATGCTCTCCAGCCACTGCCTGCAGGCATGAGCAAAGGCCACAGGAATGTGCAAAGCCACACATGCTCACACACGTGCTCCCAGGCACAGGCTCTACACGCACAGATGTCCCTGTGTGTAGGGCTGGCATGCCCAGATGTCCCTGCAGGGGCTGACACACACAGCCACGTGCATGGCCCTGACCACGCACAGCGAAACACGGGCACAGACGCCCTTACTCTCTCTCCCTCTTTGGTGCCAGACATTGAAAGGAAAAATATTTTACTACCTCAAAGGTCCCCCTGTGCAGTGCCTTTTTTTTTTTTTTTCCCTTTCTCTTATTTTCTTAATGCGTTTTGGAAACAGGCCTGTTTCATTTACTCCAAGTACATTTCCCAGGTTAGAAAACAAATATTAAAGAGCATAAACCAGTCAAAAAGGGCACCCACACGCCAAGCCACACCACTCTTAAAATGGCCCTGTTCAAATGAGATGCAGATTTGAAGAGAAGGAAGAGAAAGAGCCAGTGCTGCCCAGGGCTCAGCTGGTGGTGATACTGTGAAACTGGATGTACAATGCACCAGGTCCCTCAGCAGAGTCCGGAGGGCATTTTTGGTACCCACTGGGCTTAGGCAGCACACAACTCTTTTACTTTTCCCTCCCCTCCCTCCTTCCAACAGGAGTGAGCTCAGAAACACTTTCCAAATTGATACCTCCATAATTTATGTCAAGTACAGTACTTTAGGCTGTACATTTATCCTGGATGCAGGGTCAGCTCTCGCTCTCTGTAGCAATGTGTATGGTGAGCCAGGGCTGTGTGCAGACATTTCTCAGTGTTCTTCATCTGGTGGGACCGTTACAGAGAAACCTTGTAGAGTTTGGTAAATATTCTAGTTTCTAAATAAAGGTTAAAAGAAGAAGAAAAAATCCTACAAGCCTTCACCTCATGTCATTACTAGTGAGTTTCTGCTGGGAACAAAACCTGGCAAAGTGCTACAGTGACAAAACTGACTTCTTGGAATGGGCAACTGGGGACTGAAGCTGCCCTGTTCCAGTTTTTGACACAGCTTCCTTCTGGAGCCAGGCATGGTAACCAGGCTGGTGGGTATTTTCTCTCTTTCATGCTCTCCTCCACCTTCATCTCAAGCTAAACTTCAGATCCTCCTGGTGCCCTGCAGGGAGGAGATTCTCATGTCAACCTCTGTGGCAAAAGCCACTTCAGCAGGGCTGGGAACTCACTGGTTTTATTGAGCGCTCTCTCCTTGCGCAGAGGGAGATGGGCACTCCTGTCCCTGTTACCGTCCCCATAGCAGGACCTTGCTCACTTCCACAGCCCAAGCAGCACCATGGGGTAACACAGCCCCTGGTCATGAGGTTCAAACCTGTCTGGGGTGAAGAGGAGGAAAGCCACAGGTGAACCCGTGCATCTCACTTTGGCCTTTGGGCACCGAGGGGCTGTTTCCAGATCTGGCACCCAGCTTGGACACTCCTGGTGCTGGGGAGCAGAGAGGTCAGCAAAGGGGACCAGGACACACTGTAGTGGCAGGCTGGGCCATCTCACTGGGGCTAGCTGCCCCAGGAGACATCAAAAATTTCATACACATGGGCAAGACACAAGCACTCAGTGGATGCACTCATGGACACTCCTGCCCATTCTCTTTCCAGTGGGACCCCACGCTGTCACATGCCATCGTGTGCCACGTGTCCAGCGGTGGTAGCAGGGCTCATGCCGGGGCTCCCCGGCAGTGCCCTCAGAGCTGCCCCTCACGCGGGGCGGGAAGGACGCGGAGCACGGGCCGGTGCTGCCCCCTGGCGGCCGCGCCCGCCCCTCCGACCATTTGCCGCCGGGCCGCGGCTCCAAAATGGCCGATGGCGAAGGGCCGGGAGAACCTGGACAGGGCCGGGGGCGATGACACGTGGCACACAAACCGCACAGCTCTCCAGCTGAAACGACCCCTGACTCTACTGGTTTAGTTCTGGCCACAGGGAATGGCCTTTGGGTGGGCTCGATGTGTGGAAGCCAGGGAGAAATTACCATAGCAGGGCAGGGAAGGTCGCAGCAGTGGCCATGTGCCAGGAGAGTGGAACAGGCTGGCCACGGCTGGAGCTGGCACAGGCCAAATGTCAGGGCAGGACCTTTCAGCAGGGCAGGGGTAGAGGACATCAAGGGACCTCGTGCCCAGGAAGGCTCAGGCACACAGCCCTGCTTTCTGGGCCTGTTTTCTGCACCCAGCACTCTGAGAAAAGCATGTAAAACTGAACAGCTGCCACTGAAGGGCAGCACGCTGTGTCTGGTTAGAAAAACCAGTCAGTGACCATGCCACAGGACTGAGGCCCTTCATCCCCAGACTGTAGACCTTGGCATGAGGAAGGAAAGGAGGCCTGAATTTGGTTACAAGGCAGCCACTCAGCCCAAACTCCTGCTCACATTTAGGGGCAAGAAGAGACAATTTGAAATGAAGCACAAGAGAAAATACTTGTAGGAGAGAGCAACTGAACTGCAGGGCCTTAGTACAAGATCTGATTTACTTTGTTTAAAAAGAAAGTAGAAAAGCAACTTGCTAGCAAGCACCATCACAGCATCTTCAGTTAAAAAAAAAAAAAAAGTGGTTACAGAGCTTACCTTGGCCATCACAATCCTTTCCCCTACTTCCTGCTAACAGCATGCATACACTGCTGGAGCAGAGCAGGACAGAAGCTGCTGCTGTGACACCAATGACCTTAACCCAAAAGAGGGAAGGCTACAGACTGCCTGTTTCTCACAGCCTGGCTTCATTTAGTGGCACAGAAGTAACACGAACCAGTTTAGGTCCTTTAATCTGTCCAAGACAGGGTGCTAAAGCACAAATGATAAAACATTCTGCATTTTTACAGCAAAAATGCTACAGAAGTTTATAGGAAAAAAAAAATTTTTTTTACATGGGTAAAACATTATAAATTCAAGACAACTCACAGACAAGGGGTAAATTCCCACATCTATCACTCTTTGTTTTAAAAAGTTCATTTGAACAGGCAAGCAGTCAAAATGGCTTGCTCTCTCTTCCTTGAAATGAGAATTTTATCTTCCAAGTGGCTCACAGTACTGCTTCGCTTCTTGGAATGTCCTCCGAAGGCTCCGCCACCATCAAAGGAGAATAAAAACCCCCGGAGTCCTTTCAGATAGTCTCGGAGAGCAGGAAAAGGGAAAGGAAAGGGGAAGTTTATTCAAACTTGATCTTCTTCCCTTGCGGCTTGTGATCTCCACCTCCTCCTCTGCCTCCTCGGAAGCCACCTCCTCCTCTACCTAGAAGAAAATTATTGCAAAAAGCAGAGTTACCACTGTAGTATTTATATTAAATGCACAAATATATTGCAGTGGTCTATCTATACCACTGCCCTTCTAAACCCATCCTGGCACAGGGACAGAAAATAAATTCACATTCAATATTCTCTAGTAGCTCTACACCATAACCCCAAGAATGGCTTTGGGTTCATTTTGGAGCACATCCCCTCCAAACAGCAGCATTGGCTTCCTCTTACCTCCAAATCCACCTCTGCCACCACCTCTGCCACCAAATCCACCTCTTCCTCCTCGGCCACCTCCTCTGCCACCACGACCACCAAATCCACCGCCACGCTGGAAGTCACCCTTTGGCTTAGCAAAGTCAAGGATCACTTTGTTTCCATCTATCTCTCCATCTTCCATGGCTTCCTTAGCTGCTTTGGCATCTTCTGCAGAGCTGAAGTCCACAAACCCAAACCTAGGAAACAGGTTGCAAGACCAAGTCAGTCCCATTTCACAAGCTGCAGCACCACCTGCAGGTTCCCACCAGAAATCTTTTGGAATCAAACACCAGCACTTCTGCATCCCACAGATGTGTCACTTGTAGGACAGCAGTGGCTAATCACAATCGATGGAACCCCACTGTGAGTTTGCCAGT